ATTTTCTCGGCCATTAAAAAATGGCGCCTCTATCTATTAGCGCGACATTTATAGTCAGGATAAATCGAAGGAGCTTGAAGTATTTATTAGAGCAGAGTATGGTGAGTGAGGAGAACCAGAGGCGGCTATCCATGTTACTTGGATATGATTTTGAGATTCAGTATTGCCTATGAATGGAGAACCGTGGATGCATTATTTATCAGTACGCATGGTCTTATATTGGGACGTATTGAGACAGGAGAATGAATAGGATGAGGGGCTGAGGAAGATCGAGGTAGAGTTGCTACAGGATCCGAACAATCATCTTAGTAACTCATTGAGGGGACAATAACAACTCTACCAGGGACGATTTGCGTTACCTATGGCATCGGGGTACATCCCCAAATTGCGGTAAGAGTTTCACGTATCGTGATTGGGAAGCACTCAGGGGTGCGAAAGACATACAATCAACTGTCGACAAGCTATAATGGGTGAGGATGTGTGGAGATGTAGAGGACGTGGTGGTAAGATGCGATGTGCGCCATTGACACAAGTATTTGATTATGGAACCAGGAGGGTTACTGCAACCTTTACCTTTACCTACGAAAGTTTGGGAGGGAGATGACGATGGATATTATACAGACGTTGTCATAATCATAGGGATATGTTGTGATATTGGTGATAGTGGATCTCTTAAGCAAGTATGTACACTTCCATTGTGACACCCTTACACTGATGTCTCAACTGCTGTTGTGTTCATACAAGAAGTGGCAGAGAAAGAAAACGGTTTCTTATCGTTTGCATGGTGTTCTATGATCCATTATATTAGACAGGGACAAGGTGTTCCTCGGTCATTTCTGAAAGCAACTGTTTAGATTATAAGAGACAGTTCTAAAGAGGACTTCAATTTATCATTCGCAGACAGATGGCCAGATGGAGGTGGTTAACAAAAATATGGAGATTTACTTGCATTATTTTGTATCAAATAAGTTGAATTTTTGGGCAAAGAGGATTGCTTGGGTTGAAAGTTGGTAGGATATTTCATATCATAATGCACCACAGACCACTCCTTTGGGGATTTGGTATGGACAGGATTCACCTCACCTTATATACTATGGACATAACACTATACCAATATCCATCAATATTTTTAAATGCGTGCTTTGAAGAACGCTTCACGACCAAAGTGAAGCGAAACACGTGATGTGCACTTTGCTTCGCTGAGGCACGCTTCAAAGTGCTGAGGTTAATTTGCAATTTTTATTATTATTATTTTTGAGTTTTAATTATTGCAACAAATTATTAAAAATTTTTCAAAATTTTAATTTATAGATTTAACTTCAATATTTGTCTTCAAGTTATGTATTGTACTACATTATTTTCCTATTTTACATCAACTTTTAAGTAATTTTTTATATTTTATAATTGCTAATGAATGTATATTTTTTACATTAATAGTTTTGTATAATCTATTAGCACAAGTTATGTATCGGTTATAAAAGCGCTATTTCGCTATGCTCATTGTGCTTGGAAGCAAAAATAAAGCATTGCACATTTCATTGTGCATTTCAGTTTGATAACATTGGTAGCTAGTGTAGACTATAGTATTTGGAGGAGAGGGACACAAGTTATTGTCAAAGCTCAAGTGGCATTTGTTGAGGGCCCAACAAATCATGAAGAGGAAGGCTGATGGACATAGGAGGGAGGTACAATTTGAGCTTGAGGACATGATTTATTTGAAATTGAGATCTTACAGATAGAAGCATTGGCCAGGAGGAGTGAGAAGCTTTTCCCACAATATTTTGAACCTTATGAGATTGTAGTACACAATGTGGCAATGGCATATTGTCTCAGGTTACCACCACCATCATCATTATATCCAATATTTCATGAATCACAGTTGAGGCGTGCTATTGGAGACCATACGCCTTCGTCTTCATTACTTTCGATGCTAATGGAGGAGATGGAGGTGGTTTTGAAATTTTTGGATGTAGAAGGGGTGCGCGAAGGAATGACTGTGGGAAAAGAGGTATTGATTAAGTGGAATGATCTGCTATATTATGAAACAATTTGGGAATCTTGTAAATTGATTTATAAGCAGGTTCATCATTCCACCTGAAGGACAAGGTGTTTCTTTTGGAGGGGAATATTGTTACACAAGTTCATCCTAGATGACTTGGACCGACCTTACCCAGGTAGCCCGTCGACCTAGCCTAGCGGGGTGGAAGCCCCTCTTTTATTCTGAGAAGAGGTGTGGCCTGTTAATACCCTAATCACGTTTCTGAGGTGAGGAACTAAGGGGGGCTTCAGGGGGAAAGTTTGAATGTGTTTTGACAGTATTTTATTTGGGTTTAATCATGTAAGGTTTATTTTCATATTTTGATTTCTACAATTTTCTTTTTGTCTTCTTGATCCTAGCGGCGTCTAGGGTTTGTGGGGAGTCGATCTACCCTTGAATTGTAGATAACTCATTTTCTCTTGTTTGTGTGGTTGGAGACTAATTAAATTAGCTCTAATTTAGGTTTTCCCACATATTTGTTGCAATTTGTTCGCTGATTTTGGTTCTGATTCGTATCAATACTTTTCATAAAACTCAATTGTATCAAATTCATAATAAACAATAACAAACAAACATAATAACCAGGACTTTTGGAGAATTTCAAAGAATTATTAAACACAACAAACATTTATAACATGAATGCAAAGACAATTAAAAGAAAATGTATTGCGAGTTTGTGGCCAATTTTAGTGAACAAATTGCTAAAGTAGTTACCAATATAAATTTTAACAGTTTTCTTGTTGCGGAAGGAATAATACATGCTGCAAAGTATGTTCATCTATATGTCCACAGGATATTCCGCATTAACCAGGTGCCTTTTACCTTAAAATTATCATGAAGTATTTTATTGAATATCCGAAGCTACGCTGGCTTTTAGCCCAAACATCTTTAATCAGGTACTAAGGATGCGAGTTCGTCAAATAAATAAAATGTATTTTTTTCAAAATCTTTATCTTGCCTTTGCCAACTTAGGATCACCTAAAACCAACTCGCCTTGCTGGTGCTTAATAAAGTAGCAAAAATAAATAGGCCTCCATCTTAGGGACGCATAGTCTCAATTCCTATTGGAATTGCTGAAAGCTCTATCAACAAGTTGCAAGATATTAACTTCCATCTTCTGTTTCATTATCAATAATTCAACCTGAGACTTGAACAAGATATTTGGTTTTACACTTGCATGATGTCTTTATTAACTTTCACTGTGAAGATTAATCCGACCAGTGAGCATACGCATTCTGTGGGATTCAATTCTTTTCAAGCAGGTAGGTCAGCATTGGCTTGTTGCTGGGCGATTGTCGTATTAATGAAAGAAAAACCCTTTTTTCGAATGAGGAAGAATTTTTTTTTCTCTCAACTACTGAAATTGCTCCTCTTTGTCACAGTTGTTCAAATAATTAATGTAAGATTCTTAGATTGACTTCAATAGTGATATGGACAATTAACATCACAAGAGTTTAGAAAAAAAAAAAACTCTTATAAATAAAATACAAACTATAGCAAAGAGTCATGCCAATTTGTTTCAGGGAGTGAACTAAAATGAAACCATCATTGGGTCAAATGCACTAGCAGTTAAACTCTTCTTATGCCTAAACGTTTTAGCTGATGGCTGAGGGTCAACCACAGTGTTTTTACACCAATATATTTTCTTTAACTTTCTGATCTGAAACTAAACAAAGACTCACTTGCCTTAGCAATTTTATTTTGAAATAAAGGCTCATCACATTAGCCATCACTCAAATATAAGCTAATTAGGTATCATGCATAAAGGGCACATTCAAACACATGTGAAGTTTGCTTAATTAGGGTGGAAGGGTGGCCAAAACTCATGTGAGCTGCAAACCACTTGAACATTTGACCAACCATTAACTTTGATATTACATTCAGGGGGTGAACTAATGGGCGGATCATAGTTGTGCCAAGTACACCAATAGCAAAACTCATTTTCAAGTATCTGATGAAATTACATATAAAATTTCATATTCCTTGACAACCATTGTAAACATTTGCGCACCAACACACCAAATTACCTTTCGTTCCCTATAATGGGACAATTATATGATTATAACTGAGGTATTTATGAACAGATAGATTACAATTTGAGATATTCTTTACCCATGTGATGGGTACAATCATCACACATTATGATTGAAGGGAATCTTTACCAAAATTGTGCCCTCAAAATAAGAAGTCAGAAATAACACATGGCCATCTTAGATAATCTGTTTGGTTGTTGTAAATCTTAGCTGTTAGCATCCCATTGTTGAATTTGTTTTCCTGAAGGCTATAATTTTTTAAGATCTTCATCACAAACATCCCCCCCTTAAAAAAATCTATAAGCAAATCTCATGGTGATCCATTTTTTTAAAATGATTGCCATAAATAAAATCAGAGGGGACTCTGTTTAAACCCAAAATTTCACTCTGGACTTTGGTTAGCTTGAGTTCATGATTGCTCGGACTGACACACAAAAGACAATGATTGTGCTTGTTGTCATTATCTCACTTTTTATTCTAAATGAATAGAGTTAATCAATCATGGAGATTATGGTTGTGCCCATAGGAAACCTTTAGTCCGAATGTAGTCATATATTGAGGATGAATCACTGGATAGTACTTTTTCTACTGTTCAATCTAATTATTGAAAAATCAACCTGAAAACCCTGATTTAAAACGGGTTTTTTACTGAGGTTCTTTAAGTGGTCAAATCTGATTATTTTTGTTTTTATTCTTTCTCGCTTATTCATTCCTTCTCCAAAAATATATTTTTAAGCTTCTCATTTAAGAAACATGAACGCATCAATCCTGCACAGGAAGCAGAAGTCCTCAGAAACCATTCTGAGGTTTTTTACTACTGTAATTTGAGGGCTCATAGGGAAATAGTTTTCTATGTTTATATATACTAATATGCAATAGATATATATCAATCTGTCGCATTTTTCAAATGTTCTTACGTCTGCTGTCAGGCAACACAGGAATGGAATTTTTGATGCAAATGTTTGGCGGACTTGGCGCTGGAGGTAATCTCGGTGTTCCCAATAATCACAGCGGTAATCATACTCTCTCCTGCTCAAGAATTTCTCATCTTTCAATTACATTTTTGCTCATCAAAATAATAATTTTTTCGGGCTTTTACATTCATACATGCCAACCAATTCTTGTGTAATTACATATCCACACATAAACTTCAGTTTTTTTACATCTACATCGCTCAAAATCTTTCACATCACATCAACTATACCACCATTTTAACTTTGAAAAAGTGAAATACACCTTTTCATGTAGAGGGGAGGTGGCATGTACCTAAAAATTGAATTTTACATGGGAATGTAATGTAATTATTTTGCATTCTTAGTAAAATAAACTTGTTTACCTGCAGCACCTCCTGAAGAACTCTACGCAACTCAACTTGCTCAGCTTCAGGAAATGGGCTTCTTTGACACCCAGGAGAACATTCGTGCTCTCATTGCTTCTTCTGGTAATGTACACGCTGCTGTGGAGAGGCTATTGGGAAATTTGGGGCATTAAGAGTTCAAAAAAGAAGGAAAAAAAATCAAATTTCTTCTCCATCCCAACTTCAAGTGGAAGTCGCAGGGGCCCATGAAGGTTTGCCCCACGTATTTATATCCTGTTTCTTCGTTCCAACATTCAAAGGTATTGTTGCAATAACTAAAGGCATTGTCCGAGAGCTAATGCTTCTTTTATTGTCTCACTATGGGACTTGAATTCGTTTTCACTTTTACCATTGAATGATAATGTTATAAACCCATAGCTTTTGTATATACCTATGTTAAAGATACAGTGATTTTGAGTCTTTTGATGTTTGATTCTCCTAAAAACTTGACATATTTTGTGCAAAAGAAGAGTTTTTATTTGAGATTCAGGCTCTGTATCAGTATTTTATTTTGCTGGGAATTTACATATATACGTTATAATTGTCTTTATATTTATCTTTCTAACATCTATATCTTTATCATTTATTCAATGCAAATTGCTTCTTTTAATGCATGTATTTTGATGTGATTCAAACACTAACATAAAGATTTATTTAGTATGTAAATCCGGTTATGTTTGTTTGCATGTTATTAATGTGTTTTTATTTTATTTTTATTTTTATGTAGTATGGATATAATTAAGGCAAGACTTTATAGTTTTTGTATTATAATTATGTTGTTGAAGTTTAAATTAATGAATTCACTAATCATGTGGAAGTAGGTTAATTCAAAAAAAAAAAAGTATTACATGATTGCCCAATGAGGGAAAATTTGGAGAATTTGGCTTTGGCGAGTTCTGGTTTAGCATTTTGGGAGGGAAAATTACTACGTGAGACCGTAGTTCGGGTGACGGTTCAAATACAATCATGTTGTCAAGGATTATATGAAAGTCTATTTGGACTGTCGTTCGGACTTGCGGTTGTCATATGTAATAATTTCTGTAATCTCTCTTTGAGAGTCTCTTCTATGAAGGGTTTAATGGACTTCTTGGTGATAAAATGGCATTTGTTCTAATTCACTTATTGAATGTAAATGTTGAGGGTTTTAATTGAGCCGAGTTGAATTGTGAGCTGTTCGGGCTCGTTTCGGTAGGTGGTTTGTGAGTTGCGCTCGAGCTAATATGTTAGCCTCAAGCAAGCCCGACTTGACTCGACTCAATAGTTTTTTTTAAAAATAATAATATAAAATATATTCAAAAATATTAAAATTTATAATTTTTTGCATAAATGGTACAAAATATTCAAAAATTATATTTTATATTCTATGGAAAATTATTATCTTCTCTTAATTGTTCATCTTATTATTGTACTAGTTTGAATTAATATTATTTTTACTTCTATAATAAATAAGTCGGTTCAAACTTGTTGAATTAAGTTAGAGTTTGAAGCCGATTAATTAATGAAGCTCAAGTGAGGACCACTCGAGCTCGACCTGAAATGTAATGTTGCGAGAATTTTTACTTTTTTGCATTTTTTATTAGAAAATTTTCGAAAATTTATTATTTATTTCGATCTAGTTTAATGTAATGTTTTAAAATTTGGAGGTTTGATTTGTCAAAAATAATCCTCATAATTATTAAATTTAATGCCCAAAAATTGTATTTATATATATATATATATATAATTTCTAACTTCCACTAAAGTTGTATTTATATTCCAAATTTTCAGTAGATTGTTTTCAGTTCTTCTATTTTCTTAATGAAATAAAGATATTCTAAATTTACACATTTGACAAACTCATTATTTTACTCTTAGTGATAGTGGCAGCATACTTTCCTTAGCAATTTAAGGAAAAAAGAAAACATCTTTATTGATTTCATGACTATTGCTAATATTAATCACAGTGGCAACATGGTTTCCTTAATTTTAATTTTGGGTTTATTTGGTATAGCTTTCTGCTAGTTTTATTTTTCAGACTGCCACCACAGTACTATTTGGAGAACTGTTTTCTTGATAGCTTTCTGCTAGTTTTATTTTTCTGCCACCACAGTACTATTTGGAGAACTGTTTTCTTGTTTTTTTTTAACATGAGCTGTCAAAGCGTGGTGGCTGCTAGAAAGATGCAGACTGACTTTTTAAAAATAAAATTAATTGTAATAACCACCACAATTTTTTGAAAAACAATTTCTTCTGCAGCAGCTTCACATAGTTGTTTCTTCAAATAGTTGCAACTGCACCAAATAGATTGATTGTCTACTTATCAAAATTAGGTTAGATTTGCTGTGATTTTGATGCCAGCTTGAGTGAATAAGTCTCAATTCAAATTTAAATATATTGAGATGCCGAAAGTTATCAAATTTGGATTTATTTTCAAGCTACATTTTGCTAACCTCTATTTTGAAAGATTTAGATACATATCATATAATTTCCACATTTTTATATTTTTAACACCTAAACTTTAATTTTTTTTAGTATATTTTTATTCAAAATCGGGCACATCGAGCTTTTTCTTTATTTTTTCGGTGTTGGATGAGCTTTAGAACTTGATGTTTTGATATTCTTCACTTTATTTCTAATTAATGTGTCCCACATTTGAGCACTTGATCAAATATTGCTAAAGATTTATATTTGTTAAATTCACAAATCTTTTCAAATTTAATAATTTTTTTATATAAAATTACTTTAAAAAAATCTTTTTTGTAAAAATTATTGGAGCTACTAAAGTCCTAGTTTCTGGATGCACGTTTAATAAAAGTTATATATGGACATAGTAGCACATATACGAACAAACACATATATGATCACGAGCACATTTAACTTTTAAAAGTTAAAATAGTGATTATGTGATCGAATAAGTTTAATTAGATTTGACAGCTCTGGACATGACACGTGTCGGGAAATAAATCATGACAAGCACGATGAGCTTCCAGTTGTTACGGGGCAGATGATCCAACCGATCGAACCAAGAAGATTGACTGAATAGGTTGGCTAACGGCTCACCAGTATGGGAGCAAGCAAAATGATAGTAGGACGAGAAATGATTGCATTATCGACATTTTACCGTATAGTTTCTATTTATTATAAATACTTAAACAGTAGCATGTAAAAGAAGGTTCTTATTTGGAAAAAAAGCACAGAGATATTAATAATGTTTGGGTGGTAGATATGTAAATATTTAGAAAAATTTAGATGGTCCAAATGTAAAGAGTAAAAGTTTAGGTGGTAGATATGTAAATACATATGAATAGGTGGTAGATATGTAATATTTAGAAAAATTTAGATGGTACAAATGTAAAGAGTAAAAGTTTAGGTGGTAGATGTATAAATACACGTGAATTTGGTGGTATGTCTGTAAATGAGAATTCATAGCCGGGAAAAAATGACCAATAGGGGCGTTGCCGGTAAGAGTTGAGGGTTTCCTTTTCCATCCGTTGGAACGAAGCTTCTTCTGTTATTTTTTCAAACCTAACATTCCCTTCTCCGCTGCTCGTTCATCTCCGGCGAGCCGTCGCAATGCCTTAGGGCAATGGTATTCCTCTCTTCTTTTCATGCTTTTTCTAATTTAGCTGCTTGTTTCTGACTATTTTGGTCAAATTCCCTAATCGGGCGGATTATGGATCCTCAAGTTGTCTTCCTTTGCTTCTTGAGCTATTGGAGTGGAATGATTTTGAGTTTTCTGGTTGTTTGGTGTTGGATTGCGTTGCTGGTAGGCTGTGCTGAAGTTGTTGGGATTTATGTGTTCTGTTCTTTGTACATGGTGTAAATTTCCAAAATTGTTTGATCTTTAATGCGATTGGAGTGGTTGTTTATGCCTTTATGGTATGGTTTTTCTGATTTATGAGATTGTTGGGGTCTGTTAGGTTGTAGGGAGCGAGGAATTTGGTGCTGAGTTAATCTATAGGTCCCATGATTCTATTTGCGGCAATTTTATGTTTGCTGGTTATTGAATAAAAGCTTCCTTTTTGTTTTTTCCCCTTCTCCTTTTGTATTGTTTTTGAGATAATTTGTGGTGAGTTTTATATATGGCAACGTAAGACTTTTAACAGTGCTAGGCATTTACATACATAGCACATAGTTCTTATGTATTTACATATCTTACACCTTAACTTTCATATTTACACACACAGCACTATTGCCTTTTTTTTCAAAGTCAAATGCACCTTTTCATGTATAGGTTTATAAACCAAACTGCTATGTATGTAAATATGAAAGTTTTTGTGAGATATGTTAATACATAAGAATTTTGTGCTACGTATGTAAATTTCTCTATTTTTTTTCAACTCTTTTAAGGCTCTTGTGAGTTTTGATTTTAGTTTCCTTGAAGAGTTATAAGAATTATGAATATTGGTGTAGAATAATTCATAAGCCACCTCGGTTTATAATGCTAAAGGAGTAAACATGGTTGATTGTCCAGCTATATTTTATTTCATTTGATCAATGTGGAACGTATAAGAAAGGTTGTGATGAATTCAAATTTATGATCCCTTTGATGGCTGTCATACTCTATAAAATCCCTTAAAAGTGCGTTTTTCATGAATGTGACTTAAAATGCTAAGAAATGGAATGAAATTTTACATCTGAAGAAGGCATCGACATGGTTTCCAAACTGTTGTTGATTTTATCTATTGTCCTAGTATTCACAAGTTTTGTACCTTTGCATTTTGAGAAGTGCATTTGATTAGCAAGAGACATCACTGCAAAGAGAACAAGTTGAAAATATTTGCAAGAAATTGATTTTTTTGAAAAAAAATAGTCTTTCATTTTTTGGGGACATGAATGAATGCGCTTCCATAAAATTTGAATATCTAGTCATTTTTAAGAATTAATCCACCATTTCTGATTCTCTCATGTTAAAAAGCTCATTTTGTATTCTCTTTTTGAGATAGAGAGCAGCCATGCTAACCGTACTAAAAATAAGTAATTAATTTCTCATCCTTCACAAATCAATTTGGATGATAAATATGCGCTCTTCTTTTGACTTGATTGATTTCTTTCAATTTCATGGTATTTGCTACTATTTCTTTTTACCTTTTCTTCTCCACAAAATGTTTTTTTTTATGTTGTACATTTAAATGATATCCAAGATCAAGTGTTTCTTTTGCATATTATTATCATGCTTGTACAAGACCCAAAGTGTTCTAGAAGTATTAATTTTCTTCAAAAATCATGCCGTTCAACCTAAATATAGCCTAAAATCAACATTTTATTGATCAAAACTCACTTAAAATATAATAAAAATTTAATTTAAAAAACACAATGGGAGCACACTAGTATTTTTTTCTAAAATTATGTAATACATCTCAATGTTCCACCAAAATATAGCTTCATTTAAAATTTTTTTGAACAGATGCCACTTAAAACATCACAAACTTATGATTTCAACAACACAATAATATTATATAAGAAATTTTCTTTAGAATTAAGATAATACCATGTCATCATAGAGTCAACATTTTATTGAACAAAAAATAAAATGTCATAAACATCTGATTGCAGTCACAGAACAGGATTACAAAAGGGTTTTCTTCAGATAACATGCAGTACACTATAATTATACTGCCAAAATATAGCTTAAAATCAAAATTTCATTGATGAAATGTCCACTAAAAAAATCATAAAATTATTGTTTCAGCAACACAATAGTATTATCTAAGTGTTTTTTTCAGAAATCATGCAGTACAGTCCCAATATAATATCAAAATACACGCCAAAATCAAAATTTTATTAATCAAAATCCATGTTAAACATCATAAAACTCTGATTTTAACCACAAAACATGATTACATATGGATTTTTTTCAGATAACATGTACTAAAATCCCAGTTTACTGTCAAAATATAGCTTAAAATTAAAATTTTATTGAACAAATGCCACTTAAAACATCATAAACATATTTTTTCAGCAACACAACATGATTACATAAGTTTTTCCTTAAGAAATTAGGTTGTATACTTTGAGTTTACTGTAAAAATACAACCTAAAATTAACAATTTATTGAAAAAAAGACACTTAAAACATCTAAAAAATCAGATTTCAGAAACACAATAGGAATATATGAGGGTTTCTTCAATAATTAGATAGTACATTCCCAATGTATTGCCAAAATATATCCCATAATGAACAAATTTTGAATAAAATATTATAAAAATCTTACTTCAGGATCAGAAGAGGAGTATCCACAATTTATTCATGCAAGTTCGCTAGAAAATTACCAATAAGTTTTAAAAATCTATAACAGCAGCAGCTAAACTACTCTCAATTTCATGCTCGTTAGCATTCTGTTTGTTTTTCATATTCTTGCTCGTCACTTTGTATATCATCTGTTATATCATTTTCACCTTCAGAATGTATTCTTTCTTCTTCCTCGGCATTTTAAAATCAAAATTTTTTCCTCTCTTTTGTTTAATCCAAAGCCCCTAAATCATGTCTTTTTTTTTTTCAAATTTTTCCAGCATTTGCTGTCCCTTAATATACCTTATTTCGGGTCTGGTTGAGCTCATTCATCTGACTCAACTATGCTTTTTAAAACCTCCTACTTAAGATGCGAAACTTTTTTAGAAGATCGAATGTGGGTCTCGACACGTGTCATTGTATTATTGGAGTCTGGATTCCGCATGTAATATTTCTCATTTGGAAAGGGGTATGAGGCAAAATCTGTTGTTGGACATCAAACTTAGTATTGATTGACGGCCGCTCATGCTAAAGCAAAGAGAAAAACGATAAAACGGTGTGGTATGGAGGTCAATGAGGTCCTACCTTCTGTTTTTGAGCAATATATAGACAACACTTGCAAAAGGAAATATTACAATATTCCAAAGAGCATAATATAGACAATAAAGTCCGTAACAATAATAATAACACAATAGTCTAAAAAAATAGAAAATATATGAATAGCCTCCTCATAGAAAACACTCTAATTAGAAATAAGAAAATAGGGAAGAAATAAAAAAGGAAAACGAAATTGTTAAAATTTTAGAGTTGGCACCTGTCTCGGTCCTGTGATTGCGACACTATTCGTGATCCCATAGAAAAACGGTATTCTGCAATACCGCAGAATCACGGTAGTGATGTCTGCATCACTTTGGTTGTGAATCGAGTCTTCTACTATTTGGACCATTAATTACTCCCTTCATCACTTGGTTGTTTGATTTGCAATGTAGTGCCTCAATCCCAAGCTATGTGATTTGTGATTTTATTATTTGGATCCTTCAACTATGAATTGTGATATGGTTGTTGACTTCATCTTTTGATTGTAAATTGACGGAGACTTATGATGAGAAGCATTAGGGAGGAAAAAATGGTAGTTCTATTAATATTTTACATTGATGTTTGAGTGCTGGTTTTTTTGGAGATGTTATCTTCTTATTAGCATGATGCATAGGTTATTGTTTGATTACTTTTTTATTTTCCTCTATTTAATGATTGTTTTGCTTCCATTGCTTATTATTATTATCTTCAAATATGATATAATCTTATTTTCTTAGATTACGGTGTGAACTTTCAAATGAAAATATGTTAGTTTTGTGTTATTGAATTACTATTCAAGATTTTTTTTAGCCTACGCCTAAATTATCGCTTGCATTGACTTTTGCATATTCCTGGTTTCTTCTTGAGTGGCGATTAGTAGTTTAAATTAGAAGTTTCTAAACTGTAAATTTCATCTTGTGTGCTTAATTTTGTGCATCTAATCTTAATTCTGTATTTGTAAACCCTATACCCTAAATTGTTCTCACAAACTTTCTACTTAAGACTCCTTAGGGCTCATTTTCACTAATAAACTGTAAATTTTGGATTTACTGCCACTGAAATTTTAGGCCAGCACTATTCACTCTGCTTGGAGTTGTGCGACCGTTCCCTCATCCTTATAGAGTTGTGTAATAGAACCAATACCCCATTTTCCACGCTTGTTCTCAAGTTTTGCCTTCCTTTTGTGTTCTATCTTCCCCAGTGCAGCCAAATGCAATCCTTTTACTGTTATTTCTACACCAAGCAAGAGCTTTCCTTTGACTTCTCCACCCTTCACAGCTGCAGGCACATCTATTAAGCTTCGGTTTTTTCATGCCTCCGAAATTTGGTTATCATTTATGGTCTCGAGATAGAGTTGCTTAAATCTGTTAATGATTTATTTTTTAAGAATACCAACAAAGATAATTTTGCATTTGATTGTTGATATGAATAATTATTGAATAATAATTTTCTCTTTTTCTGTTTGCTTTTTGTTTCTGCATACTTTCTCTATATTATTTATTTTCATTTTGTTAATAGATTTATGGAGTATTACATTTTGTTAAAGGTGCAATGATGCTTATGTTCTTAGTGCAGAGCAGAGTGTTGAGGTTGTGTATTGCTTTAGAAAGACTTGTGCTTATTTCATAAAATGCAGTTGAATTGGTGAACTGCGTGTTTTATGTTGAATTTTAGAGCGCGCTCTGCTCTTCTCCTTCCCAATTTAATAATATGACCGGTTTATCGGTGGGTTAATATCATGCTCTACTAACTAGTAAAAAGCTTCCTTGTTAAAATTTGAGT